GGGGGGGGGGGGTCAGTACCCGCCCAAGAGATGCTGGGCCGCCGGTGACCACACAGAGCCCCCTTGTGGGCCATCCTGTGTGTGAATCAACCCCACACGCACACTCCGGCACCCAGCGGGCTGCCTGTGAAACCAGAGTGACCCAGGAGGGGGCCGGAGGCTCCATCTCCCGCGACTCTGAGTCACTTAGATTTGCAGGCCTCCTGAAGCATCACCTGGGCTCTGCCTGCCGTGCGGAGGCTCCACCTGTGCCTTCCAGCATGTGCAGGTTCCAGGCTCCCCAGAGCCCCGACTCCAGGCGGGCCTTGTTAGAGCCCCTGCAGTCCTGGGTGAAGGAGGGCTACTGGTTGGCCAAGGAGGTTTCTGAACCCAGCCCCAGATGGACCAGGCTCAGGGACTCTGCCCTCCCTGGGACGCTTGCTCGGCCCCCAGTCCCGCCTTCTGACGGGATCGTGTCTTGGTCAAGACGCAGTATTTCCCTGCATTGATGCAGACGTGTGTTTCTACATTCAGGGATGTCAGGAGAGCCATGACACCTAGCCCCGCAAGTAGGGAGCACAGGAGACCCCAGAAACCCTGGACGCACACACAGAGACATCATCCCCTGAAAAGGAGAGACTGAGGGGACCAATCCCACAGGAAGCCACTCGTCACCCGCCGGGCCTGCCGGTTCAGTGCCTTCACCCACACGGGGTCGTAAAGCTCTCCTCTCTGCAGGCACGTCCCAGGTTCTGGGGCGATGCCTCCGGCCCCCTCCTGGGCAGCACCAGAAGGGGAGGTCCGATTTTAAGTGCGTGCTGAGCCAGAGTCCAGGGACCAGTCCTTGGTGCTCACGCCCTGGGTCACTCACAGTGACCTGATCCCTTTGCCAGGACAAAACCCCTCACGTCTCGGGCATCTGGACCGGTGGTTTGACTGGCAGGCCACACGCTCCACCATGATCCCTGGGGCGCTGGGCACGCTGCCACCACCCAGGCTGCCTGACCGTGTCTCCACCTTGTCCCAATGCTTCCAGAGCGCGGATGCACCGCGGATGTTAACGGCACGCCGGGAGGGGGCGGTGGGCCAGGCCTGGCTGCTCCCCCATCCCCCCCGACTTCCCCCCACCCCAGAGGAGGCTCCCGCCCTGCTCGCCAGACGGCGCAGCTGGCACTGTCACTCCTCCCCACGCCCGACTCAGCGGGCGAGACCTCTGCGTGCGCCACAGCCCGCACACGCCCCACACACCCCGCGCGCTGTGCACGGCACCGCCCTGGGTGGGAGCCGCGGGACACACGCCGTCTCTAGGAAGAGGCCCTGCAGGGTCCTCATCTGTGAGGCCACTTCCTCCACTGAGGTCTCAGAGCCTGGGCGTCTTGGGGGGCTGTGAAGGGCGCCAGGAGACCGTCCCAGGCAGGGGCCCGCCTGTCCCACAGCCCCTCCCTCCGCTCCCGTGCTGGGCTGCACTGAGGGCCTGCAGCTGCGAACGTGCGCCCAGATCTGATTAAAGGTCTGCCGGTAAAGGTGGATTCCTTGTGCCTGTCAAGTAGACCGTTTCCCACAAACCACATGCGAAGTTGTCTAAGTGCTCCCATTCACACCGTTGCTGCTTGCGGGACACGTGGGCAGACACGCACACTCACACTCACGTGCTGGGTCAGAACAGCGAACACTGAACTGACACATTGCAGGGCCCAAACCCTTTTACCCTGGGACTCGGACGCCCAGGGATGCCGGCTGAGGCTGCAGCCGCCACACCGCTCACTCACTCACCCAGACCTGTGGGTGTCAGCCTTAGAGGACGCTCTCGTTTCTGGGGCCATATCCCTGGCCTTGCTGGGCCCCAATTGCGTCTTCAGAAGATGCACGTCCCGAGTCCGAGAGCACCTTGGGGGAGGAGGGGACCTGAGTAAGAGAGGTCATTCTTTTGGCAGCTGTGATGCATCTAGATGAGATGTGGCCCCTCAGGGAGAACCCCCCCTCAGAGCAGAGGAACCTCGACCCTGATGTGTGCACAGCAGGTCACAAGGTCTGGGAAGGAGACACACAAGCCAAGGCTCCTGACCACCTCCTCTGCCAGGCATGGGGCCACCAGTCAGCACACCCCTTGGGGCCTGGGCATCACGTCATGGGCTCCCCGCTGTCATGCCTACAAAGACGCCCCGTGATGCCCTGAACGCTCCCACACTCCTAGGCTGCAAGAGGCCCGGGTAGGAGCACGTGGACCCCCGAGCAGAGTCCCACGATGGACGTGGGGTGTCTCAGAGCAGGGCGCCCTCTGGGAGCGTGTTCCCCTGCCTTCCAGACGATGCAGGCCATGGACCACAGTCCCCAGGTGCAGCCCCTATGGGGTGCATCCTGGACGCAGGGGGAGCTTTCCTGAGTTTAGCTGGAATCTCGGTTTCGTTTTCTTTTCAACAAGCTGTGTGTGGCCAGCGGCACTCGAGTTGGGCTTCACCTGTGAGTCTGGGACAAGGGTCCCTGCGTCCCCAGTGGACCCCAGGTGGAGTTGGGGGCACAGCAGCTGGGCCGGAAGCTCTGATCCAGCCTGTGCTGGGAGGTCCTGTCGTGTGGATGGGGCCCTGAGAGGGCCCCCCTCACCCAAGGGTGGAGAGCCTGGGTAGATACAGAACTCAGCGCACTTCCTGCCACAGGTGCTCTCCCCAGACCCCGTCCTGGGGCAGCGGCGACATCAGCTGCCATCCACCCAGAACAGGAGCAGGTGGCTATGGCACGGCCCTCGCCCTTGTGATCTGCCAGCTGCTGAAACTCTCTTCCTTGTTACCCTCCCTGTTTCAGGGCTGACTGTTCCAAACTTTAGGAACATAAATAAATGGGACATTTTTTTCTACCACATGGTCATGATTTTTCTACGGGGTTCTGTTGTGTCAGGGACGTCACCAACAAGCCTCCCCTAGGGAGCGCAGACCCTGCGACTTTGAGGGGGCAGGGTGTGGGCAGCAGAGCGCCCTCTGGGGTCTTCCTGGTGCACGTCCTTGCCTCCCATGGGGGTGAGGGCAGGGGGAGGTCCCTGCCATCTCTGCTCACACCTGGCCTGCCTGGCAACGCTGGGGCCCCCGGAGCACGATGCCACCCCCTCCCTAGGGGAGGCACTGCTGAGGCTCTGAGGGAACAGCAAGCAGGACTGTCCCTGACGGAGGGTCCCACCTGAGTGTAGGGTTGGGGGGTCTGGGGGGTCCGGCCCGTGTGGGTCCCCATGAGCGGCACCTGCACCCACGTCCATATCCACAGCCCTACACACAGCCCAGCGTGTCCACTGGCCCCTGACTCTCTCTCCCTCCTAGTGCCTCTGTCTGCCCCTCCCCTCCTCCCTCTCTTGATCTCTGTCTTTGTGGGTCTCT